TCTTGTGTTTCTTACTTGAGTGTTTACTGGGCATGCCTCAGCCAATGCATATTCATCATTGGATTATCTTCTTAGTGGTAAATACTTGAATTCTGGCAACAGTGGCAAAAAAGAAGTTATCTTACTTTCATTGCTTATGTGTCAATTTTAAACCTGTTAGCTGGTAACTATTTTGTTTTAATCTCAGTCAACAGATTACTATTAATGCACTGTTATCCATATCTTTGAAATGGTTGTGCATATCCAAATTAAGATCCGCCATTTAATTTTGATAAGTTGATTGAAATTAGTACGCACAAAATCATCAACACCGGCCAGCTTCTTACTGGAATCTTTATGATATATGTACCCTTGTGCTCATACAATTATTCATTATTATGAGCTATGCATATAGATAAAGTCAGAGGTCCAGATTTGAAAAGTTTCATTCGGCAATTTCCTGGGTCTTCAGAAGGTAACTTGTCTTTTGTATCCTACCCACCTCACATACAAGTTGTTTAGGAAGAAAATTTATAAGGTTAGGCATATTATGGGTTAGTTCATAGATCTTTGGGCTTCGATTACCAAGGAATAGAAACTTTACAAATAAAACCCCAGGATTGACATTCGATTGCTATCATTTTATATGTATATGGTTACAATTATCTACGTTCCCAATGTGCTTATGATGTAGCACCAGGCGGACTGTTAGCTAGTCTCTATCATCTTACAAGAATAGAGTATGGTATAGATTAACTGGAAGAGGTATGCATAAAAGTATTTGCCTCAAGGAGGAATCCTAGAATTTTGTACCATATTGATTTTTTTTCATAGAAAGGTTTTGCAGAATGAGGACTTTTATTTAAAGGCTATCTTTAAGATTGCGGATTCTTCGTTCCTAATTGATTATGTGGAACATTAAAATTTTTTGCTAATTTGCTAACTATTATTTACTGGGCAAGATTAGAAATGGACTGTTGTGTCATCCCAATTTAATATGATAATCTTGATAGGTGAACATGTAATTCAGTATTTTGTTTTCCCCAGGCTCCTGATCCTTGAAATTGCTTTCAGAGATGATTAATCTTTTTTATTTTCACATTTCATAATATCAGATAGTCTTTACAATGTCTGCTTACTAGTGCGTTTACTAGTGTTCACCATGTTATAGTTGATACTGATATAATGAAGTTTTCGTACCATTGATTGATTACAATGTTTGCTTACTAGAGTGTTTACTAGGCATCTTGATTCAGATAATCTTTACAATTTATCACATATTCCTAGTGTTGGATTACCCATTCTTTTTTGTTTCACTTGATGCAATTTGTTTTGTTGGTTATGAAAATGGATAGGTAGTTCCTTTTGTTTTCAAATTAAGAATGTTCCTACCTACTTATATTACTTTGGCTGCTAATTGATTAGTTTCAAATGCAAGAAAGGATTAGTTTCTAATGTTATATTTTTATGGTTCAAAAGCATATAGATGTCGCAGTTGATCACTCGTCGTCGGAGTGTGACCAATGCGCCTCCCGCATTATCAACATCTACTACTCCAACCGTGAGTGCTCCATTGATTGGGGAGCCTACACCCTTTACTGAGGCTAATCCTACGGCGTCTCAGGTGCCCGTATCATCGACATCATCAGTGTCAGTTCACCCGCTCAGTGCACGGCGGCCTCATCGACGCCGCCACGAGCCGGAGCCATCTGATCAGGCTTCCTCGTCCTCCATAGTCCAGGGTGAGGCCTCCCAGCTAGGTAGTTTTTTCTAATTCTCACTACATTGTTTTTTTTTTTTCATTTTAGAACTATTATTTTTATGATTGTGAAAATTTGCTAGATTGTGAAAATGTGTTGCAGGTTGTGAATTACTGTTATTTGACTTTTTTAAGGTTTTGGGAAATGATATACTATTAGGGGAGGTTTTGCAGAATTTTCTCTCCAAATTTAAGCTTAGGGTTTTCATCATTTAAGTTTTTTTGGGCAGCTAAAAAAAACACCAGGGGGCTTAATCGAATGCTGAAGGTGGCACCGAACGTACGTCTGACCACCTCCTTGATCAAGATTGCGTAAGACTCGCGACATCGTGGAGCGGCTACCTCACAGCAACATAGCATCGTCGCTACTGGCTGTGGTTATGTTATTAAGCATTGTTGTCCTATGCAGTGGGAGTCTTGGGCAGATATTCCCAAGGAGACAAAAAAATGGTGCGAGACAAGTTGTCGGTTAGTATATTAATTTTTAGCCTTTTATCATGTTTTAATTATGTTTACAAATATTATAAACCAAAGTATATTATCTTAATATTATTAAATTTGTTACTATTATTTTGTTGTTTTTAATATTTGTAGGTCAATTTTGATCTTAAGGACATATCCCCTGAGGTCTTCGCCTACTTAAAGGAGACCTTCGCAAATCGGTACAGAAATTGGAAGAGCGATCTTCATGTGCATTTTAAGAAATGGGGTGATCCGAAGACTGCTCACCTACATGGTTGCCCATCCGAGTTGATGGACCGG